ATGCTTTTATTTAAATATATTAAGTACATTAAGTACCATTAAATATCTGTGTAAACCTTTATTCCACAATTGGTGGTATTTATATTTCTTTCTTTTATCCTACAAATTCATCACTTATTTCACACTGCGTTTTTCTGCCTAGGCCCTGTCTGTCCTTTTATCTCAGATTCTTTAATTTAGTAATGGCTCATAACTTTTTGTACTATTTAGTCACCATATAAATACTATTCTAAGTGAACCTATGTAGATTTATTCCTCTCTTGAATCTTTCCTGTGTAATGATATATAGATAGGTACTAGGCACATTGACTTCATCAAACCACACTGACTTCATCAAACCATCAATTTAAATAAATATTATTGTGTTGCCAAAAGAATTTCTTTCCCAGGTAATCCAAAAATATGTGTAGGCTTCTATATTTGTTTATTTTAATTCAATTATTAAAATCAATTATTTGCTGAAATCTTGAATACAATTAACAATTTATAGTAGTAATAATTAATAGTCTACAAAACTTTAAACTATAATTGCTTAGAAATGAACCGTGTCAGAGAATATCTATGTCTATTGTAACTTTCATTGAAAAACAAATCAAAATTGATGCTATTCCAGATAATTTCAGCTTCCAAACTTAAGTATTATTTTCACAGTCTTCATTTAGAGAAAAACAGTTTCATAAGTTTCTTTTTAAAAAAAATTGTTCCAGGCCTAGATTATGATCAAAATATGAACTAAAGATTAAAAAACATTTTGCCACAATAAGCATATTGCTATTAATCCCTTTTAAAATACTACCCCTTGTTGCTAACACACTTATCCCACCATTTTTGTCACTTTCTGAAGCAGGTTTGAAAGTCTTCTTCTAGGAAAGTTTTTATGAGGTGTGATCAGTATTTAGAGAACGCAGCTGTGGTATGCTATGCACTAGAAAGGCAGGATCACCAAAACAGTACAGTGTGGCATCATCTACCTTACTCACTAGATGTGGCATCCTAAAGTCTAAATGGCCGTGGAAAGTAAACATTTTTAATCGTTTTAGGATATTTAGCCAGTCAGAGCTACACAAAGTCTCTTATGAGAGAGGTCTTCCAGAACTGCCTCGCAAAGTGTCAAGATAGATGGGATATATGTGATCAAACTAGGGAGAGTAACTTCTAGATTAATGACAATGTGTCTTTCTTTTTCCTTTTGCCTTCTTGACTTTATTTTTTCTTACGTTTATTAGTACATGTTTGTAGTACATAATGATTATATACGCTATAAGAAATTGGCACAATTTCAATGTTTTTCCCTTTCCCCCACCCCATTCCCCTTAATATTTTCAGCATCAGATTCATTTATTTGTGTTCTAGAGTCACAGAGAGTAAATTAGCATATATATATATATATATATATATATATATATATATATCTTGAAAAACAAATTAACAGGTAAAAGAACATGTAACATATGTAACACAATTGTACTGAGATAAAGTACATTTTTATATAAATTGTTCACAATGGAATATAATATGTAAATAGGCAATATATGTATATATATGATTACATATATGAATTATTTATCATACATATGAATTAGTCATATATATATATATATATATATATATATATATATATATATATATGAATTAGGCATTCATTGCATTTTATGACCATACCTTACGTATACATATATAGCTATGCATTTCTACCAGATTTTCACTACAAGTTGCAGTACTATTTAAAACTAGAGATAGAAATCTGAGGGAATGACATTGTGGTGAAATTCATCTAGCTTGATCCCCAGAACCAAACGCAAACAAAAATGAATGAATGAATGAATGAATGAATGAATTGATTAATTAATAGAGAGGGAGAATATTTTCATAAGAAAATGATGTAACTGAATTGCAAAGTTTCAGTGCAAATATATGATTAGGAAAAAGAATAGAAACAGAGAAGAAAACATATAGACATGAAACATTTTTAGCCACTTTTCTAAACTTGTTAATTTTATATTGCTCAATGTTACAACATTCCATGGTTTATTTTTTTAATGTACGTTATAATGGATTTGGAATTAGAGCTTCTGATTGTCACACTATTGAAATTTATGAAATAATTTTTAAGTGTCCATTGCTTAGCAACTTCTGATGAAGAGCTATTACTAATCCCTTAATAAGAATTTCTCAATCATGGTGCTGTCATTTGGGAGTAGGTCATTCTTTTTCATAAAGCCTGCCATGTCCATCAGAACACATTTAGCAATATACATGGTCTCTTCTGGTAGATGTCAGTAATACCCCAGCCCCAGATGGAACAATGTCTACAGATTTCGCCAAGCCCCAAGAGGCAAAATCGCCTATCCTCTTTCATCTCATGCCAGTAAGAATACCTGAGCAGGGTTTTCAATGATTCAGTATGCTGTGATATTGTTTTTTATAATTTTTGCTAAGAGTTCTACATTTATAATAATTATTAGATTTACAGCTATTTACTAGAGTTAATTACATGCAATAATAAGTCTAAAGTCATTTCTAGCTATGACCTGTCACTTTTTTCTATGGTGTGCACAAGCTTTCAGTAAGCATCATAGTTGCTTTAAGTATGTAATTCTTCTTATAAACAAAATAAGCATAAAATGAATCTACTCTTTTCCTACTAAAAATAGAAAAAAATAAGTAAAAATTTGCTGAATCAAAAGCATAATGTATCATACAAGCAAAGCTGTAAATTCCAAACCTAAATTTTCCCTGCAGGTAATCATCTAATAATTGGACTAGGAAAGGAGACATGAATATCAGTCAAATATTTTCTGAATTTGAATTATTATTTCCTCAGAGATATTATGACTAATATAACAAAGAGGGGGAAGACTATGCATGACACGTACAACATAGCTCAGATATTTGATTTTCTCTTTCCTTTTAAAAAAGTTTTTGTGTTATTATAAATTTCATGATATACTGGAGAGATTTTCTTTGTTCCCTGAATGTTAATGATAAACTGAAGTGAGCTAGACCAGCTTTTAAAGCCCATTTTATACATCAGAAATAGGGAAGCCACAGCTGCAAAATCTGCAGAGGGAAAGTGCTGTGGAGAAAGCCTCGTGTGTGAGAGAAGCTCTCTCAGGCAAGGGTAAGCAAAGTAGAAACTGGAAAAGGTTAAGTATAGGAAGCTAACCAGATTCCAAGGTCAAAAGGAGGTGGTAAATTGGACAAGAAATGGAAAATGTCAAGAGGTAAGTTACTTGGAAGAGTGTTTCTCAAATTTAATGCGGTAGAGTTCCCGAGGATGGGTAATTTTGAGATGCAGATTCTGTTTCAGCAACTTTGTAGCAAGGCTGAGCATCTACATTGTAACAGTCTCCAGGTGTTCATGTGGTTCACAGGCAAACTGTGTGTACCCACGTTCCACACTCAGCACATCTTTGGATGACGTGCCAACACTTATTTTATCACAGATCTGAGATTAGCAATGGGAACTGTTAAACTATGAGAATAACAAGGGATTTCATTTTCCCCAATTCTCAATATATAGTTATGAGTTATCTTTTTTCTTTCTTTAAAAGAAAGCACAGAATAAAGTGTTGATTTGATAAGCATGTTAATTTCTGTTTTTAAGAAATATACATATGTAAGTCCGTCAGTAAAATGTCGCTATGGTTTTTGCTTTTCTTACCACATTAGACAGAAGTTTGCCACAGCATATTATCAGATGGAGTAAAGAAAACCTTGTATTTCTCAACTCAAAATTAAGAAAAAGCTTAACAAAAGTAAGAAAAATTGATTAGTTTTAAATAAGTTTTCCTGCTCAGGCCTGTGTTTTGATTCACTCTTCGTGACAATCCTGGCTGAGCTTCGGTCCCAATCATCTCATCCTCTTCGCTATGGGAAAACCAAATCCTGGCTTACCTCATCATCTCCCTCCATAGCAACTCATGGAGGCTCAGTTAAAGGTTTTGGCATTTTGTCAATGTCAAGGTGTGCCAGGAAGAGAAGCAGATACAAAGATGACAGATGGATGAAGTAACCTTGATGGAAAACATTCACTAGTGAAGAAGCAGCAGCAGCAGTATTGTAAGAAAGTGTGCTCAGCCTGAAGAGCGAACACACACACTAGGTGTAAGTAGTGATGCTCCCCCCGCTTTAAAAAAAAAAGGACGATCCAGGAAGGGGCAGGAGCATATAAACTTATTCCCATGACAAATAATCCAAAATAGCACTTTGCATTTCTTGCAAGTTATACACGAGGAAAAAATGTACGTTTAAGCATTTGTTCCAGTTTTATCTGAATCGGAATTGCTCAAACATGACTTACGGTCTAAAAAAGGGAAAATGAAAAATTCCTCAGATAAAAGACGCATCACGAACAGTTAAGGTACTAAAAGGACACACATCTTAATAATCCTTGCCTTGCTTGATTAAATACAAAATTTACTTGAAGTCATTAAAAGGTAAATGCACAGATTTCTTTTTCTAAGTAAAATCCAAGTTTACAACTTATCTAGACAAGTTAGAGATGTGTTAAACAAGTAAGTTAAAATGATGTAGGTTGTCACTATAGGTGACAAATCTTTCTTGGAATAGTTGCGGTGGTTAACTTTACTGTATGACTTCACAGATTACTATCCTTAGATAACATACTTCTACATAAGTTAAAATTTAGAGTTTCCTAAAACTTTACCTATTCTAAGAACATCACAAAAAACACTATGTGATCACATTTAGATCACCTATATCATGCTAACGATAATTAAAATATTCAATCCAGTCAAGGTTTTCATGCCTGAACACTGCTGCTGTTTCATCAATAGATTCAGAAGAAAAGCAGTAAAATTTTCTCAATAGTTCCATGGGGCATGAACATTAGGCTATGTGAGTCCACGTTCTGAATATACATGCATAATTTTTCATGAAGTACAAGAGCTTTAGAGAACACACCAATTATTCTTTCTATTGTCTAAGAGAGACAAGACACAGAATCACGTTTTCCTTCTAGAGTTTTTTGAACTCACCCCATGTGCTGGGTAGGAGATCCAGCCCAGTTCCCCTTGAATTGTTTTTGAATCCAAGAGATTGACTAAAAAAAAACCACAAACACATAAACACAGTTAATACTAATGAACTATTTCTACTTTTTCTCTTCAATTAATGTTGTCTATTACTATCAATATTGCTGTTCAAAAATATGACTTGTGTCATTTATTGTCAATGCATAGTTAATTTTATTATAAGTATATAACAAGTATGAGAATTTTTTTTAAAGTGACCATAAGAAAAGTTAGGGAATCAAAAGTGTCCACAGTCTTTTAATTTTTTGTTCACAATAAAGTTAATATTCAGAATATTTATATTTTCTTACAGAAAAATTAAACATTTAAAGAAGAAACAATAGACATTCAAAATAAAAAGCCATTAATGATAACAAGATATAAGGCAATTACAAAGATGATTAATTTGATTGATTTACAAAAGATTATGCTATAGATGAATGTATTAGATATAAACAATCTATATCTCTGCTTGTCCATTCTATCTTGATTTGACCCCTGGGTAATTTCAAACATACCATTCTGGAAGGTATAGTCTTAATAACGTACAAATTACTAGTTTATATAAATAAGCAAATATATAACTGCCAATTTGAGGATAAACCAAAATAGAAAATATAGTATAAACCTGTGTTTGTTTAAAGAAGGTGTTATTAGTCAAAGATTTTAGTAATTGTGTTGAGAACTTCATGGTAGTCATTAAACTGTCTGGTTCCTAAACAATATTTATAGATAAAAAGTAAAATAGAACATATATACATTTTTATATATTATTAAAATAGGTAAATTATTTAGCTTTAACAGAATGTTACTTTATTTTGGATCAGATATTAAAGTGTTAGAGGAAATTTGAATATAATCAGTAATAAAATTCTTATTTTGACTGTAGATTTGATCTATTACCTTTTGTAACTGAGGAAAAATATCGATTTAACTTATGTCTTACAGTTTTTTAATGATTGAAGGTTTTGAATTCATAATATATAGTGAGAAGAAAGTTAAAAGAAATAACCACGTCCTGTATTACTTAGTTCAGTTTCTATAACTGAGTAATTTTCTGGGACATCAGTTTGGAAATTAAGAGTCTACCTAATTACATTGCAAGTTTTTTTCTAAAGTGACAAAAATTTCTTTATTTATTAACTGACATTACAGAGTATGTTTTAGATTAACCAGTTAAGACTTTTGAAAATATAAGAATAGACTATCTGTATTAAAGCATAAATTCATTCTGATAGACATTTAGTCTAATCATCTCTTATATAACAGTCATTAATTTATTTTTCTTAATTTTACAGAGGATTTACATAGTAGAATTTTCTTGATGTATCTATAAATCATTAGATCATATTGACAATGTTCTTATGCAATGTTATTGCTCAAGTTATCATTGCGTGTAAATAATAATTGAATATGCACTATGTGTCACTTCACATGTTAAGATAAGTACTTCATTTAATTTCAACATTCCTAGCCAAAAAAAAAGTGAGGTGATGAATACATGACTATTACATAGTCTCTGCTTTGAACAATTCATCAAGATACAGATTGTTAACTGAAGAAATAAATACGCCTACATTTTTTCTAATGCTAATGTAGTCAGGAAAAAGACTAGCCTAATCACATTTATGTTTGATTTCCCCTTAAAAGAGGATAGCTAAGCCTAAAAAATATCCTTACAGTAAATAAAGTAAGTGTAGTATGTTAAACTTATTGCATTTACTCAAAAATTTAATCTCTAATACACTCAAATGAATAAATAAACTCAATTACTATTACATATGATCCTGATTCTGCTGCTTCAAAAACATTTAATTTTGTCTACCATGATTATCTCACAATAATGTCATGATGATCAAATAGCATGAAGGTACTTTAAACCACAAGGAATTTATAAAGTGTTATGTAGACCCAGTGTTCTCGTAAAAGTAGTATATGTAACAACAATACCAGTTTGGCTTTTCAATTGTATTTATAATCAACCATCAACACATGACCTAATCGACAAAAGCAGGTGACATCTAAATAGTTTTATAGAAGCATTTAGTTTAGTTTTATAAGATGCCTTTCGTGTGTTGCCAAATAAGAATAACATGATCTAAGAGTTCTAAACACTTAAAGAGAATGGTTGTTAAATTGAGACTTCCCAGGATATAAACCTCAAGTCTCTTGTGATCTTTTGTATAATCACTGAGCATAGCATACTTGAAATAAGAGATAAAAACAATGGAATCTGAAAGTGAATCTAGGAGTGATTTCTCTGAGTCCATTGACTAAATATCTAACTGCAATGTATACCTTAATCGCCATACTGATAAACAATAGAACTTTGGTTATTATTGCTTTTCCCTCTCAAAACATATGCAGACCTGATCATTCCTCCTCCAGTGGCACCGCTATCCTAAGACAAATCCTAAGACAAAGACTCCAGACTTGTACATTCTAAGGTATGATATTATAATATTACGGTCTGAAATTAAAGATACCTCACCACCAGGAGAGTACATTTCACTTGTTGCACAACTGAAGTTCACAATTGTAAATTTCAAAAGGAAATTATTTTTAAAGGTGAGTAAAAATCTAAGCATGTGCTAATTCTTTAATGATTGTCTCATGTCAGTTATTTACCAAAGATACAAATTGCTCCTTAACACTTTATTCAATTTAATGATGTGACTTGCAAATAACTGTGATGTAAGAAATGTTATTTAATACATTTCAGAATGTGGTCTATTCAAAGAACTATATAGCATATATTACCCTTTAAAAATAAAGTTTAAGTGAGAAATACTTTGAAATGATATGATTCTCTTTAAATTGATACATAAACGTGGGATATTTTTAACAAAATTGTGGTTGGAAATCATAGTCTTATGCTTAGAAGAATATGTTTTCTACTCATGAACTGTATTGATCGCTTCCTAGTAAAGAAAGACAGTTTATTTGGTCATGCTTTTAGGGTATCCAGTCCATGATTTTCTGGCACCGAGGCAGAAACATCATGGCAGATGCGTGTGGCAAAGCAAAGGGGCTGTTAATGGTAATCAGGAAGCAGATGACTGGCCAAAAACCTCTAAAGAGGAAGGGACAAGGAGATACCAGATGTATCATCCAAGGGCAGGCTTCCATGACTCACCCAAGCACATGCGAAAGTACACTTTACTAATCATCTGAGTGGCTTATAATCCAGTTAGGTTGAGAGGCACAACTGTCACAGGTACTTTTTACTGTCAGTAGGTTCCTGCTTTATGAATACAGACGTGTTAATAGAAGACGGTTATACTCAGAAGTCAAAGACAATCCTCACTTGGATTCTCAATTTGGCTTTTGAGTGGGCATTAAAAAGAGATAATTAAATTTAATTGAGATGAGGAATTTTGGTGTCTGGAATAAGAAAGTGTAAAGGGAGTACAAATGTAAAACAAAGTATAGAATAATATGGTTCTAATTAGTTAAAAGAACCTGTGGAAAGAAGAAAATGTATTATCAAGTCTGCCACTGAGTTCTACTGTCCTGTACCCAAATGCTCTAGATTGTACCCAAGGGTCACACTGGTCCTCCCTTTTCTATCTTTCATAACAATAGCAAGATTCAAACAAAAGTGCATTCCTAATAATTGCCTATTTATACCATTATAATCATGTAGAATTATTTGCATCAAGGCTGAACACCATCTTCTTACTAATGGAAATGTACTAAGGATTATAAAAAGCCTCAGTGATTACAATAAGAGTTTGAAACAGATTCTCAGTTCAAGAGTATAGATTAAAAACTCTAGGTCTAAATTTTCTGGAGTTTTACTGTTAGAAAATCAACATAGCAAGATTTTTTCAAAGACAGTTTAAAACTCTGATTAATTGTCACTACTTGTCCACAGAAGAACTCTGACAGTTAAACTAATATTCACAGTTTGGAAGAGTATTTAAGTGTTCCGTTCATAGGCAATGTTAAAAAGAGATTGTAAAAATTAAATGCCATAGTCTCTCCCTGAAGCAGGAGATCTTTCCCCGTTATTTAATATTACAATAATATGCTTTGGAGTAGTGCTATAGTTGCATTTTGTGACTATATCAGATTACATATAATTATCAAGAAATTATTTCAAAGCCAACAGTAGTTTTGAATACTTAAAGAACTGTAGATTCTTACAGTGAGAGGTCTTTTCTTGTGAAGCTTTTAGATATAAGATGGCTCTAAATACATGTACAAATACTACAAACTCACAAATGAAAAAGTGCGACTTGCTTTTTAAAAAAATGGCACTAATAATAAAATACTGACGCTGTCTAGTCACACAGTGACTGTAACTGCACACGCTAGTTCATACATGCTTACTTTTTATCATTGTCAGCACTTTCTGTTATGATAAACACAGCAGCACTGTTCTAGGTTACAGGAAGTAGGCTTTCTTTAGTTTGCTTCTAGATGATATTCGAGTATCATAACTAGGAGAAAATGATACAGGAAAGAGTACACTTTGTAACATCTTTGTGTTGTAAGTATTTGTATAGTTTTCTGGGTAAACATAACATGGAATTCATAAATTACGATTTATTTTCTTACAGAAATCCATCCCAGCCCATATTTTTTTCAGTATTTCTCTATATACAGGAGTATGCCACGAGAAAAAAATCTAGGTAAGTCCAAGTTTTATCGATGTACTTAGGTATTTTAACATGTTTTGTATACTGTGTTTCTTTCTTTCTTTCTTCCTTCTCTTTCTTTCTTTCTTTCTTTCTTTCTTTCTTTCTTTCTTTCTTTCTTTCTTTCTTTCTTTCTTCTTTCTTTCTTTCTTTCTCTTTCTTCCTTCTCTTCCTTTCTCTCTCTTTCTTTCTTTCTTTCTTTTTGAGACAGGATCTCTCTATATAATTCAAAGTGTCCCTGAACTCACTATGTAGCACAAACTGGCCTCAAACTTCCAGCAGTCCTCCTGCCTCAGCCTGAGTACTGGAATTACAGATATGCACCACCACACCTGGCATATTCTTAATTTAATGGCCTATGTAAATTCCTTTTATGTATTTAGTAT